TTTTATTTTTATTTGTTTTTCTAGGCAACAATCGGATATGGTGATAAGTGTCCGAGTACATATATTGGTAAAATGATTACATCATGTTTATGTATTTGTGGTGTTGCTTTTTGGACATTACCATCAGGTATTATTGGTTCAGGCTTTGCTTTAAAAGTTGAACAAAAAAAACGTGAGAAACAATTTAATCGTTTGGTTCCTGCTGCTGCTAGTCTTATTCAAAATTGGTGGCGTATGATTGCTGCTCGTCGTCCACATCTAGTAGCTACATGGCGTATTTATCGAATTGAAGTAAAACGATCTAATAAACTTAATCGACATACTGGTTCTACATTTGTTATAAATACAATTGATAGTACTAATGATACATTACGTATGCGTAATGGTGCAACAGCATATAATTCATCATCAAGTGGAGTTCCATTAGAGAAATTTTGCTGGCGTAAGATCGAAAAAGCTGAAGATCTTAGTACAAATCAACGTACTGCTATACGAATGATACGTATTATTAAATATCATGTATCAAAAAGGAAATTTCGTCAAGCCCATAAACCGTACAATTTTAAAGATATTATGGATGAAAATGCTCAAGGAAATTTAAAAGTTATGTATACACTTGCTGATATACAACGACGTTTAGATCAAACATTAGGTTTACCAAAATCATATCCAATTGTTTTATCGGATAAAGAACGTGAACAATTAACATTAAATGCTAAAGTACAACGATTAGAAACAAAACTAGCTGGACTTGAAAGACAAACAAATCGAGTTATTTCATTACTCGAAGAATTATGTCAACGTTCATATCATGAAGGAAAAGATATAATCATGAATAGAATACCAGCTGTAGCTGAAGAAATAACATCAGGAACGTGATTTAATCACATTATATATTCAACGTAATATTTTTTTTCTTTTGTCTTTGTTTTCTGATTTTTTTTTTTGTACTTAGAAATTTTTCCTTGTGCTAATTTTTATGATGATAATGAAGAAAAAATTGAACGAAATAAATGATTTTCATGTATTTAGTCTAAAATGTATATTTACAGGTATCATTTGATTATCCATTTGACATCAATAACGAACTTCTATTGTTTTTTTTTCGATGCAAAAGACTACGATGATTTTTTTGAATTCATACATTCTTTATCTTCAATTTTTAATTCGTAATATGTAGAAATGTCTATGAAAGAAAATGATTTCTAAATAAAAATTCTAATCAATGAAAAAAGATAATATTGATCATTAACGACAACTACAGGCGACTTCAGTATACTGGATCATGGAAAGAAAATATTAGCCAATGAATTCTTTTTAATCCAGTTTTTCCTTCGTTCATTTATGCTCTTGTTTGATTAATTTTTATTATATTCTTCCCAATTTGACCATCCTTATTCTTTTGTAAGAATACATCAAACTATTGAAATATTCATTCGATACAATTAAATAATTCGTCAATTATCTAACGAAAATATCAATAACAAAATTTCTATTCTTTGATAACTGATGTCTTCAAATATATCTTTTTATTGATTTTTTTTTTCTTTAGATTATAAATTAATTATCTTTTTTGTCTTTTGTTTATTTAAAAACTCACGATGGATTTAACCATGGATTTATCAATTCGTAAACCACAACAGCAACAACAATCTCCAGCTGCACCATCACGACCAATTCTTAATCCAGCAGCACCTTCTAGTATGCTACAAGGTTCAGCTGGTCGAAATTCACCTCATTTACCTCCACCACCTCCAACAGCATCTCCATCTGCTTCACATACAACTGTGCATCAACAACAAATCAAACAACAATCTCAGCCATATGTACCAATTCCACCAGCTGTTCAACAACAATTAAATCAAGTTCAACAACATCAACAACGTGTTATGCAACAAACAAAATATGTTCAATTACTTAATGTTATTGAAGAAATGGGTAAAGATATTAAACCAACATATGCAGGAAATAAGAATTCAGCTGAACGTTTAAGACGTGCAATTGCATCAGCTCGTGTTCTTGTTCGAGAATGTCAACTTGAATGTGATCGAAATAGTCGACCTTGAAAATATCAAAATTTATTAACAACAATTTATGTATATATTTAAAAGAGAAAAAAAACTTATATGTCTGTCAATGTTCTTTTTCTTTTTTGTTTATTAAAATTATCATTGCATCAGGTATAAATATTCTATTGAATTGGATCATATACTTCTACCAATCAATATACAGTAAAATTTCTCGTAAATGAACATCATCAGCACTTTAAAAAAATGTTTACTATTGAGAGATGTTTATCTATGGAAGATATCATATGTTTTACTAGAAACAGCTTCCAATAATTCTTTGAAGTGGAAGGGACTGAAAATTTGACACGTTGTCAGAACTGGTCTGTCTGGCAGATAATTTTCAGAGGACAGCCCGAGATTTTCGCAGACACACCATAAAAAGTAGCGGGGCTAGAACTACTTCAGCCTCTCTTGCATCGAAATCTATGTTACAAAACTAAAAAAAATTAGAATATAAATTTCTTTCCTAATCTTTGTTTCGTTTCACAAAGCTCTTTATCATTGTTTTCGTTCAATACTTCGATTTTGATAATCAGCTAAGTAGTCGATTTTTTAGCTAATTTACATTGTGATTTATCGTCACTATTGTTGTTATGATTAGTCAGATGAATTTTTTTTTCATGTAATGTAAGATGATGTCCGGATGCCATTGCTTTTCATGATATTTTGTTAAATAAATTTGTATTGTTTCGATTAATTTCAACGAACTATACAATAGATTAGCATGATATTCATTAGTGAATCACTATGTCATATAAAGTTACGTACTAGGACCAAGAGAATCGAATACAAAAAATTTTATACTTTGTCTTTCAAACTACTGTTTTTCAATCTTTCTCGAAATAAATTACCAATTGAGACAAAATTCATTTCTTTTGTTTTATTTTTAAAGCTATTATCATTGAGCAATAGATAAACAACACAATTGTCTATACTCATACCAGTGTGCAGTTATACATTCTTAAGAACATACATACCACAAATATTCTCATTTCGTGTAATGTGAAATATATTCTAAGAACTTAAGTTAGTTCACGTTATCTATTAGCACAAACTAAAATATATTCACAAGTTCTCATTGTAATTTTTAGAAATAGAACAATAAACTATGAATCTTATCAAACGTATATATAGTATATTTCAACCGTTGAATAATTATCTATGATAGATAATCATTCAATACTATTAATACATATTACTGGATGATATTTTCCATATAACTAAAGCGCTTTTTTATGAAATATGATCGCAAAGGAATGTTGAAATATAAAGGGTAGAAATTTGCACGCTTTCTCCTCCATAAATCATGCTAATATATGAGCTACTTTCGTATTGCGTTTCTGCAGGATTAGGGAAAATATAATGGAGAAATGCGCCCCAAAATAGGTAGAATAAAATAATCTTCCTAAGATTAGCAAGAAAACTACATTGTGTGTCATATTTTAATTTCGTAGGGATTGTGCTAACAGCTTTTTTCTTTTGATTACTTTCAATAATTTGTGATACAATTACAACAACACTGAAATTATATAAATAGAAAGTATATATACGTATATATCAAACAGAACATTTTCTTTTCTTAATTGTTATCAAAAGAAAAAACACATTCACAATTATTCTTGTATGAGATAAGCAAAAGTCAAATAGCCTGTATGACCAGGCATTACTAATGGGCCAATAGCAGTCAACGTTGATTCTGTTTCTCGTGGTTGCCGTTTAGGTGTTGTCTCTGAACCATTTTTAAATCTTTTATTTGTCGTTGTATCTTGATTATCATCATCATCTGGTTCTCTTTTATTTGATTTTGTATAGATTATTTCTTCTTGATTTTGATCAGCAGTAAAACGAATTTTACTTCGATGTTGATAACGAAATTCATGTATACGACGTAAGCATTCAACTGTATTAATTTCTTCAAAACCGTTCATACGTAATCGCTGACAAGTACGTTGAACTTGTTCAATACATGGTGAAAATGTACACAGACGACCACCTAAGAAGTCCCACAAAAAAAAGAAAAATAACGAAAACAAGAAATATTTTTTTATACCAGTTTTTTTCAGAACTTTCATCACATGTTCTATAGCATTCCATGGTGCTGGTAAATCGAGAAAGACTGCATCAGCTATATTTTCATGTTCAAAACCATTTGAAAGTACATCACGATGTTGAACTGTAACCAATTGTGAAAGACCATGTTCCTAAAAAATAAAATAAAAAATTATCGAAGTCAATAGAAAATAAAATTCGGCTTACCCGAATCTGTTTACCTCAAATTCATTTCGAGCTAAATTTGAACGAAGTTCATGAAATTCAAATGTATATAAATGACCATTTGGACGTAAAGAACGTATAATTGAATGAGACAGAGATCCACTACCAGTTCCTAATTATCAAGAAAATCTTTTTTTTCTTCTTTTTCAAATAAAATCTAACCTGCTTCGATAACAATCGAACCTGGTTTAATATCTAATTCAAGTAGAATTAAACTAATATCAGCCATATAAAGAATTTGTGTACGATGTGGTAATGCCAATGTCCATAATTCTATGTTAATAATATGAAATATTCTATTGATTTTAATTAATTTCATTTACCTGGTATGACTGATAACGCATGAACATAACCTTTTGTACATATAATTTTACTTCCAAATTCTTTTCCAATTAAATCGTTATGTTTTAAAGCACCAAATTTTGTTTGATATACGTCATTTGCTTTTACTTTAATAACATGTAAATTATTATATCCCAGATAAAGTATAACTTTTGAACCTTCTTGAATTAAATTTGTCATAGTCCTGTTTTATTTAACTAGATCTAAAAATATTCATAATCATCAATTTATTTTTGTTTTTACTAAGAGAAACAAAATAATGATTCTATACGAAATAAAAACAAAACAAACGACTGATTATGTTGAAGAATTTTACTACGATTTTTTTAGAGATAATAATTTCTCTTTAAGTTCATCAGGTTTAAACACACCATGTTCTGTAATTATACCCGTTATCAAATGAGCAGGTGTTACATCAAATGCTGGATTCCATACTTGAACACCTAGAATACAAAAAAAAACAGAGATCAAAATTTATTTATCGATATTTTACCTTCTGCAGCAATATTTATCCCTTTGACAGTTGTCATTTCTCTTGATGGACGTTGCTCAATAATAATTTCATCTCCTGTTGTTTTAGTTAAATCGATTGATGTTGTTGGTGCAGCAATATAAAATGGAATATGATGATATTTAGCAAGTACAGCTAACTGATAAGTGCCAATTTTATTAGCTGTATCACCATTTGCTGTTATTCGATCTGCACCAACAACAACAGCATCAATAGGTTGTTTTTGCATTAATAGACCAGCCATTGAGTCACAAATCATTGTGTGTGGAATACGATCATGTAATAATTCATAAGCAGTTAATCTTGAACCTTGATTATATGGTCGAGTTTCTGTAAAGTATACTAATTGAAGAGCACCGTTTGCTGCTAATTGTCGAATAACACCAAGAGCTGTACCAAAACCAACCGTTGCTAATGAACCAGTATTACAATGAGTTAAAATGTTTAATTTTTTTTTATTAGCGTTATTTTGACAAATAGCTTCGGCACCATAACGACCAATTGATCGATTATCAGCAAGATCACGTTTGAGAAATTGCTCCATAAAATCAAGTAATTCATCAATGTATGCTGATAAATTTTCTTGTTTATTACTCAATGGAATTAAATAATCAATTATCGTTTCAGCAGCATCTGCCATATTGACTGCAGTTGGTCGAGCAGTTAATAAATAATTAAGTTGGTCAGTAACAAATTGTTGAACTGATGAAATTGAATCGAATTTCGATCGAGAATGATTTAGTTCAACAGCAAGACTCAATACACCGCATACAGCAATTGCAGGAGCGCCTCGAAAGAAATATTTATCTTATTTATCATTATTCAGAAAAAGAAATATGAGATACGGAAGAATTTTGTTTCTGTTACATTTTTGGGATTACAAAACTAAATAAAAAAAACCAAGATGTTTCATATTAATCAACTTTTCTCTCTCAAAGCGTCATTTCTCTTTATTTTAATTGTATCCTTATATTGTGATTAAGATTTTATCAACTAAAAATGATTTGCGCAAATTTTATTCTTAACATTAAATAAAGAATTAATTGTTAGAACACATTTACGTAGACATGTATGGGTGGTACAAGAATAGATGCTTATAATATAAATAAAAACTTGTCAGCGGAGTTCCTTGAATGCTAAAATGTAGAAGTCACATGTCGTTTTTTTAGTCTCTTTATACCAATAAGAAATACCTAAAGCAAAAAGTCTCTAGCAGATTATAGTTGCTGTCCAAGGATAATCGATTGCTCAAGAAACAGTCTGTCTTATTTGATAGTTCCGATAGAAATTTTCTTTTACTGGCACTATAGTCTTTGGTTGCTTATTGTTCTAACCATTGATATGACCGACAAATACGCTTGTTATATATATCCATTATATCTAAAACAGTCCTCAATGTACACATATATATATATCGGTATGACCTCGAGAACACTTATATTAAATAATTCCGAAATCATCATCTTTGATATCTATCATATAATTATTGACTATCTGCACAAAAATCAGAAACTGAGCTACTTAGAACACTCGAAAACATATTCGAGTCATTTACATTCCAAAGAAGGCTTTGAAATATTCTTGAGCTACCTGAACCTTCTTGTTAATACCATTCAGCGTTCTTGTAGCGTTACTGAAAAGGTATAGAAAAGGAGCCTGATTTCTGTTGTCTTCTTCGCTATGAAAGTGTACCCATCAACGATTGACATCAGTTTCTACAACCTATTGCGAGAACCTTTATCAGTGGTCTTAAAATTATTAATTTATACTCATACTGTCATGCTTGAACCTAAGTTAATGTAGAAGGAGGAACTCGCAAATCTCGAATTATCGCTTACATTCACTAGAACCATAACATATATATAAGAAATGGATCCGATACCAATTGTCAACACACCAGACCAGTTCCATCTTTGATCTGTCATCAGTTGTAGACTAAACAGTCATTGTATAGAGAAATAGGCTGATCATTGAACCAGAAAAAAACTCATATTCTTAGAACAATACGTATTCTATCAAGATCAAACGCACTTATTTAAAAACAATCAATCTCAGAAATGAGTTGCGAAATCGTATGTTTTTTTTTAGATTAAAACGCAAAGAGATCATAATAAACAAATTGACAACATGTAAGTCAATATATCATCATGATATACATTAGTCATTTACATGAGTGTCTACCATAAAATAAAGTTTTAGTATATTAACCGGTTACATATCTATTCTCTATTTAATATCAAAACTACGATCCTCAAGTATTTTGTCGTTGATGGAGTAGATAGTGAAAATTAGACATGAATGGAACATCTCTATAAAATATCAGTGGATTCCGAGTTACATCAAGACAAAGTACATTTTTAAACTTCTTATCCTTTATTTGTTTAGTTTATACCTCGAATTGACATTGTATGAATAGCTTTCCATGCATCATCAACTGAATGAATAGGAATATAGATTGATTCATCAGGTAATTTTAATTGATCCAAAATTGATAATGAACCACGTTGATAACAAATAGCTTTTAATGTTTGATCGTCTTCCATAACTAAAATTTAAAAATATATTTAAATAATTTTGTCAAATTGTTTGATCTATTTTGTGATGAAATTCATGTCGTATATATGCATGAGTAAAACCATAAGAATGAAACACAAAAAAAAATATAATAATAATACAATAAAATATTTATGAAAGACAAAAAAATTCAAGTTAAAGTAATAAGAACAGATCATGAGTGTCTTGTTTTTGAACAGTTATTAAGTTCACAATAAGAGATTCTTTAACAGTTTGCTTTTTGAGATTATTATTATGGTGAAAGAATGTCATCATCACGCATATCTGGTCCCGATTCATCAAGAAAATATCCAGCACGCGGTGATGTTCTTTCACAACGACAACAAAATTCACATCCATCAGCAGCTAAATTACCCAATTTACGCCACATTTCTAAGTTTGGAATATGATCAATACCACGAGCACCATGTTTTACATGCATAAAAACAGCTCCAACAAATAAATAGGCAGCTGTTACACTGAAAAAACTAAACAAACAAAAAAAAGCATGTAACTCATTACAAGAAATCTTTGTTAAAAACTAAACGCATTCATTTACATAATAAGAAAGATGGCACTACCACTTAATTTGTTATTTTTTTCTACAGGTGGACACATTTCTGGAACTCGTAATTGAAACATATAGTTACAATGATGATCAGTACTTGTATGCTCTTGAAGTATGGTGAGATTAGCCTAGATAAACAAATAATGCAAGAAAAATACAGACAATTTATTTAAAATAAATTTCAAAATTTAGAAAGATTCAAACTTTACACAAGTTCTTCTTTTAAATTAACATAACCAACACTTTGATTTATATCAGAATTTTTAAAAACCGTTATAGATTTTATCATTAAATCAGACACATTCATTCTCTGAGTAAAATACCTTTAGGACAAGTATATTACGCATTTTCCGAATATTGGCTTAACGAAGTGACGCTTGTAAGTGTCATTTTTAGTAGAATGCTGTGGTTTCGAATTTTGACTTGAAACATTTTGCATATAGACAGACCTTAAGGCCACCCCCCCCCTCAAAAATCGATCTCAGCCCAGGTATGTTCAAATGGGCTGAAATTTGGAGCATATGTTGGGGCTGATGTGAGGAGGCTGTGATAAAATTTTCAGCTCGATACCCTGATGTTTGACTGAGATATTCACCAAACAAGGGTCAAAAATAGGTCATTTTGGTACAAGGATTTCTCAGCCCGGACCCGTCTAACCTATTTAAATTTTTTTTTTGTTAGAAAGAGCATATCAGGATGCAGAGCACTACAGAGTCCTTTTTTTGAGATTCTTAATTTTTTAGCGGAGAAAGGAGATCACAAGTCCAATGACTCAAAAAACGCCCCAAAAATGGGTGTCCAGTCACATAAGTGTCTTTATATATAATAAAAAACAAAGCTTAATTAAAAAAAGGACTCTGTAGTGACCTGCATCTCGACGCGCTCTTTCAAACAAAAAAAAAATTTAAATATGTTGGACGGACCCGGACTAAGAAATCCTTGTACCAAAATCCAAAAATCATAAATCGAGAAAAAACGAAAAACATTTCTGGATATTTCAAAAAACCGCTGGTTTTTCAAAAACTGGTTCTCTGAAATTCTGGAATATTTCGGGAAAAAATGGAGGTTTTAGGAAAAATTTTTATTGATTTTGAAAGAGCAGACGACGGGCTATTTTCCTATGTATTTATCTCAATTTTGACAGTTCTCACGAAAATTGACTTTTTTTGAGGGGGGGGGTGGCCTTAACGAGATTCGTTTATTGTCTAAATTTCAGATTTTTCAATAGTAATTATTCTGAAATATAAATATCGAAATTTACCGTTGTATGAGAGCGGCGTGAAAATATGCTTCTAACATAGTCGTATCTTAGGATAGAAGCAATCAAAATATCTGCAACTTTTACAATAAATTATTTTCATCAAAGTATGTCTCTATGCATAGTTTCAAGTCGAAATTAGAAAATCAGTTTTTTTCTAGTGTTTCTGAGGGAACCATGGCGTTCTACTACAAAATACGGTAAAGATTCAGTTTCTCAGTCATTATATGTTATAAGCCCGAAATATTCTCATTGTATTCATAATTCATCAATAGAATCTACGTGATGCACATAGTCCTGACTCAAAACCAATTTAACATCAAGAAACATTCTCTCGTTAGAAATTTTATCTCAATTTTTGTTCCAGACTAGTGAGAGAATTTTTTTAACGGCTCAAAAAATTATATCGCATGATAAACCAATAGACTTTTGCTAACCCCTATAAGTTATTCTTCGAAGATATCAAATAATATTCGAACCGGTGGTGTTGTCAAGCAGATAATTCTTTACAGAATGTAGATTTGAACTCAGTTGTTGCTTTTATCTAAGTAAAACTACAGACATTCTGTTCGGTCAACAAGTCGATTTAAAAGAAACGAAAAGTAAAGCGACCTGTAGAAAAACAAAAAACAATTCCAATAGTAAATTTTGTAGGGTATCTTTCGCTCTATACACTGACATAATAGTAAAGATATCGAGATTTTGGTTTGCAGAAATTTAGGCCTGAACTTAAATTGACCTCCTTGAGTTCTATTAAAAGCCTTATTTCTTTAATGAATTGCTATGTTTCGTTGTTTTAAGCAGAGCACTATAAATATAGTGTGGTCTAGATTTATACTGCTTAGTACTACGGGATATACCAACTAATTAAAAAAAACAAGGCTTCTTATAGGGTTAATGAGGTCAATTCAAGATCAGGCAGAAATTTTCGCCTTCCAACATTTACATTAGAATTTCAACAACGAAAGTGCAAAAGCGTACGGAAAAATATTCTGTTCAAACTAATTTTCTTGACTTTTCAAAAGATCATTTCATTTGTCTCAAGAACATTTCTAAGCCTATATTCGAAACAAGCACAAAGTTATAGTCATCACTCATAGTTTTTTACTCCTCGGAAACATTTTCAATGATAATCAAAAGTACAGAAACATTTTGTTTGAAAGAACTTCAACTCATCCGTTACCTTTTATACAAAATATGTTTTTTTTCTTTTCTCTAAATTCAACAATGAAAAAAAAAATGGAATTTAGATTTCTGTGACGAAGTTTTCTTTCGTTTATTTGTTTGTTGATGTTTTTCTAACCTTATTTTGTCCACAAACGAACATAATTGAAGCTGAACGCGTTGAATTATTACAAGCATCTTTGTATGGATCACCATCTTTATAAGTTAAAAGTATCCAATCATCTAAAATAAAATTGTATTATTTGTTTTAAGCTTATATACTAATTGAGAAAAATTTAGATGAACCTCCTCGAACAAGATTGACTTGATCTAATTTTCCGAGAACATGTGAAGAACTATTTTCTTTTTGAATAATAGCTGTGTCATCAGCTGAATTATTAGGCGATGAACATATTCCAATAAAATACGTTAATCCTTTGTTCGACACTGTGAAACTAAATAAAGAAAATTGAATAATAAATAATGACAGATAAGGATAATATTTACTTTTTTCCAAAGATTTCCCATTTTTGCATTTTCTCATAAATGTCTCTAGTATGTTCGTCTTTATAAAACTTACATTCTCCATAGACTAATGAACAATAAACAATGAAGAAGAATATTCTACGTATATCAGCCATCTAGAAAATAATGTTTTATCAGCCATTTTGTTTTATGATTTTTTTATCAAATTTTCGTAAGTATTCTATGCTTGATCGAGCAGATAGCAAAGAAACAACATAGTTTTTTAACATCAATTTCTTTCGTTCTGTGTTTCTTTCTTCTTTTTTTTTCGCTTTTTGGTTTTATAATTTTGATTGCTTTTTCTTCTTGCTTGAGTCAATCGTATACAAAAGGGACACGAGAAAAAAAAGAGTAGAGGTGTGCCACTCGTGATAGTTTCAAAGGTAACGATACTAACCACTATCATCAAGCTGATGTACGCAAGGTTAGTTAAAATTATTCATTTCATTTGTTTTATACAATAAAAATGAGCATGTGATGTACTATATTTTCTTTATCTTCTAATAAATACATATTTTTACATGTTACAATTATCTTACTGATGTTTATCATAATAAGGCATGCGTCTTTTCTCTTTCTCTTTTTTTCTCTTTCGTCAATCCTATTTGAATGAATATTTTAAAACGAAAAATATTTACAAAAAAAAAAAGAACAGGATGAGACACAGAAGAACCAAGAAAATATACAGAATCATTATCTGTCTGTATCAAGTAAGTTGTCTGGTTTCGAATATCTTTACCAAAGACAAAAAAATGCATGTTTATCAGCCCTTTTTATTTTCTTGTACCCAAGGTCATAAAAAAAATAAAAGAAATAAATCTTTTAATCTTAACGATGAAAAATCTTGGATGGTCAAAAACTTGTTTCTTTTAGTTAAACAATGTCAACTTCAAGTCCATGTTTGAATTCTCAACATTTATCAGTAAAAACTCAATTAGGCGAAACAATTCGACAACGGGTTGATGATAGACATTGGCAATTATTTGAAACACGTTTAAAAAATTCATTAACAAAAAATCATAAAGAAAATTATACGAAATCAAATGATTATGGTTTGGTAAATTGTTATAAAAAACTTGATCAATTACAATTACCTATTGAACCTAATCAACGATGGCAAACATTTTGTTCACAATTAACAAATAAATCGAATGAAACTGATCGTGTTATGTCTATATTTCATAATGTTTGGATTAATGATTGGAATGGAACGCAAAACTCTAACTTGATTACAAATGAAAATACATTTCTAAAACATTTAACACTAAATGAACACGATAAAAAAGTAATTTCTTCAATTCTTCATAAAGCAATTTGATCAAATATTATTAAATTTTAATCAAGAAAAGAAAAAGATTAAAAAACTTTTTCTTTTCTTTTGAATTTTTTAAGTCAATGACGTGTAGTTTGTTTCTTTTTTACTAGAATTTTTATCATATCTTATCTGATAGTGAGTTTCTTTTTTTTTTTAATAAAAAAAAAAAACGATGATAGTGAATATACTTAAAAGGAAAAAATCTGATTCAATGTATTCTTCTCTGTTCATCAAATTCTTATGAAATACATTTATAACTATTATAAACAATCAAAAAATCATTCTCAATTAATTTAGATGTTCGTAAAGAATAGCTAAAAGAAATGTCTTACCCAATTATTATCATTGATTCTCAAATCACTCACTATGGGAGCAAAAAAATAATGAAACTAATAATGAAAAATATAAAAGATCCATAAAGGTGTATTTGGTAAATTGTTGTCGATCAAAATTCTACTCGAATCCAAAATTTTTCGAGAGAGGTCGTTCCTATCAACATATATGTTTTTAAAAAAAACGACAGCATTACGAGCAAGCAACAGTCACGAAGGTATACCAATCATATGAAACAAAGTCTATTTAGTTAAAAAATGAATAGAATTTAATGTGAAAATCTCCTCCTCCACCAAAAAAACAATTGATTTTTCTAAAAACGACAGTTGTGTATGATAAATATATAGGCATAATTTCTAAGATACATAGTTTTGAAAATTCATAAAAATGATTTCCGATTGAGAAAGATTTCTTTAAAACTTATGACGGGTTTCTGAAACACTCCAGGGTAAACACTGCTATCAAAGTTCATAGCAAAATTATAATCGTCATGACAAATATCGTCTATTATCATACCCCATGTATACCCAGAAGAATACTTGATAAGAATCTAGATAACTTTAAATGCGTTAGTAATATCCTAGGTCGATCATTTTGACAGGTTGAAACGACACTTGAAACCATATGATATCTTCTATGGATATCTTTGGAAATTCAATGAAGTACCATCCCAAGTGATATTGAAAATATTGTCCAAATACACGACCGCACATACATCCAATATCTCCGACATTTTCTATGTTGCTATTTGAGTGAATTTTCCCGAAAATCCTGAAAAAACTTCTCATCTTTTAAACTACCTGAAACGGTGTGATTAATGTACTAAACGATAAAAAAATAACCGTCATTATTCATTACACTGTAAACAGTAGTGTTTAGGAACGCTTCAGTCGAAAACGAATGCACAGCAATAGGACCGTATTTTCATTACTCGAGTTGAGCCCTAACTAGTATCCTGCTTATACTTTCTATTATTATACGAACCATTTGATTACATAAATACCATTCCTGCATAACAGATTTATCATCACAAGTTACATCAAAAATAGATGTATAAAAACGAGACGCACACAGACTCAATAATCATGCCTTTTATGCGTGAAAATACCATCAAAAATTGCTTTACATAAAGTAGTGTACTACTAAGAAAAAACTATAATTTCAAGGATCTTTCTTTTAACAAGTAACTCATTACGTTCGTTTGTCGCCATTTTTAAATAGTTACCAACTATTATTTTGATATATGGTGAGCAACAGTACTGGAACTTGGAACCACTTTCTACTAGACCTCTAGAACACAAAAGAATTGCTTCTATTATCTATGGAACTTACCTATGTAAAGAATGCTGAATGCAGAATATGCGAAGATGTGTATATATACTCAATAATTCAATATTAATATTATGTCAATCATCATGATGTGGCAAAATATAGAAACGTCCTTATAGAGCGCACGCCATATCGTCGAATAGATCTGAACAAAATCTATTCATCAATGTTTTAACTAACTCAAAAAAGTTTACTAGGGTCTGGGATGAACAAAAAGAAAGAGTATATCACAGTTCTATCTCAACACAGCACTTCCATGCAACATTAGAAACCGATACAATTGGAAATAGTACATAAGATTATTCAGATTTACCCACTAAACATTATTATAAAATATGCAATAATGTTTATGAGATACTTTTCCGATTCCATGTAAAACGGGGTAAAACCAATGATCGGAATATGATTGTTTCCGCTGGAACGTAAACGATCATTGGAACGGAAACCATTTTTAGGTCGTTTGCGATCTTTTAATATAACTTGAGATAATCATATATGGTGTTCATGTTAGAAAGCTCTTCATGTAAATATACAAAAACAAGTTCGTATGTTTTTCTTGAAATTGGTTTTTGTGTAAATTGTCGAACTCTGAACATAATGGTTTTTTTGATCATGTTTGTTCTAGTGAACGGTATTGTCTTTTTTATTCGATAGATAAATGCATTCTCTTTCGAATGAGAGAAATAAATTTTATATTTGATCTTCAATATCAAAGCAATCTTGAATTTCCTAGAAAATATTCTCTAAAGTTTTTGAAGTTTTTAGGATTTTGAGGACAAATCTTCTGAAAGATCAGATGTGAAGTTGTGAAATGTTTTTCAATTGGTATACTTTTGGAAAAGAGAGGTAGCGCATTAATATTGTGTACTAAACAACCTTCATCTTTTTATTCATTCTTTTCTCGAACAGCACTTATTAAAAAAAAATTTGATAGCATACGTAATGAACGGAAAGCAATTTTATTTGAAGAATCAAACAAATTGTCAGGAACGGATATGAAAGGCATTCTCAAATCAATTGTGACGAAAGTCAAAATAGAATCATTGAGAGTTATTTTTATACAATATTTTTTATCGTGTGGGTGTCTAATGAAATATTTATTCGGTACTATTAACATTCAAGTTAAGTAGAAATGATCGTAGCTAAGATGGTCTTTTTCTTTGTACTTTCAAAATTACTGAACTAGACTTGTTTGATATTGTTATTTAAATAACTCTGTTAGATTGAAAATAACGTTTATTAAATACCATCTAAAAGAAGTTCAAAATATGCTACAATGAACCTTTCAATATTATTGATTCGCAAATAAAAACAAAATGTAAATTTTGCCGACAAAATCAATTGTAACTTCCATTAGAAATGATATGTCTGGGTATAAGACATGTTTTTATTTTGATTGAATCAAATTATATTAATCTTATTTAGCAAGAAAAACAACTTTTAGCAAAGTACTAAACGTCATCCGATTGTACTTGACTATTCATATATTTAAAAGCATCATAAAGTTTTCAAGAGTATATTGAAAATCTTTAGTAAAAATTCATCATCTTTATCAATCTTTCTTTTATTTACACTCTTTTTTTCTATCGATATTTTCTGTTAATTTACCATGCTTATGTACACATATTTGTTTACTATTATTAAGTGCCTTTACTTTAGGCAAAGATCATCAGAAGCAGAAAGAATAGATATTTTTGCTTCTAAAGAGAAAGCTTAATCCGTTAATTAGAAAAAAGGACATTTTGTATATACGAAACAGACGAGCAAGATTAAAGAATCAACATCAATTGAAAGGAAAACGAAATATTATTTGAACATTTAATAACTTAAAAGCTCTTTTGATTTTGGCATTCTAATAAAATATGAGTATTCATAGATGTCTAACAATATGATCAAGATCACGCAAATGTAACAACAAGTCTTTTGTTGTTTCAGTCAATTCTCACGCAATTCTATTGAATCAACATCCATTAGTTATAGCTACCAGCGACATAAATGTTAAGAAAAACATTCAGACAATAGAAAATATCTGTTTCTAAATTGAGGCAGATTTCTTTTTCTAGAACGGTTCATGTCAACTAATAAAATAGATGTATAAATAAGGGAAAACTTTTATCAAATATCCTTTGCGTCTTGTTCAGATCTATGATCAGACAGTCAAATTTGATTAAGTTCATACATAGATAAATATTTTTTTCCTATAGAAAAAAAAAATGCTTTTTTTTAATTACAATAATGAAGTTAAAATGCAAAAGAGTTTTGTTTTTGTCGAATCTAAATATATATGAATTTGATTATTGAATATTCTCTTCGAAAGTTCGAAAATTCTAAGTACACATAATTGAACGATATTAAATTATCACGGATCATTATTTGAATATTTTGAACTGTCATGTTCAGATTCAGATGTTATTCCTCGTTGATGTGTTGAAGATACAGAAACACCATAAAATCGTCGAACATAAATAATTGTACATAATGTAATTAATAAAAGAAAACCAAGACAAATACCAGCTCCTAAATAATAATAAATACGTGGTTCATCTATACCTTTAGATGTTATTGCAAAATAAAGTAAAACAGCTGTAAGAATAAGCAATATAAATGCAAAGAAAAGACATGCATGAATGCATCGTTCTTGATCGGTCAAATTTGATTGACTTAGTGTATCGCGGCGTCGAAAGAAAAGCATAATGATCAAAATATCTAAGGAAAAAAAAAAGATCTAAATTGAGGACATATGTACATATGTTAAACATACATCTGCTATTTTGGTAAATATGAATGTCGAAATACTTACAATCTCATTCAAAGTCGATCAATGTCAATATGATTGTCATAAATTACTCTATCAATAATAGTCATGCACATGTGGTTCTATTTATAATCTGGAAGAGAAAAGGTAAGATTTATTTAACACATATTATTGGTTGATGTGATGATAGTGACACTCAACATTATGTCATTATCACAGATTCTTTCCTTACCAATCAAAAAATAAAAACAGCAGAGAAGAAATAATCGCTTAGAAGGGAAAAAGTTAACGGAATCAATAAGAAAAGAATCTTCAAAATTTTCCTTTAGTTATATTAGAACGATCGCTTTAAGCTAAACTAACAATGAATTTTTATATAATAAGTCATAATCGATTTGATTTTACTGATTACTATGATCTATTTTTTTTTCTCATAATACCTGATATGACTCACCAGTTTAGTTATAGATTCCATGAAAAAAATCACATGAAATTACAGAAGTGAAATCAACATAACATGTCTTTATATTGTTCTCGTTAAATATATTTTTGAAAAAAAGCAATTATTTATTGCACACAAACAAATAAACACACAATTCTCAGTCAATCTGTAGAGAAAATAATGTCTCTTTTTCTTTCATTAAAGGATGTAAAATAAGTTTTGTTTTCCTTAAGTAATATTCTTTTTTCACATGACTTCTCACTAATGGAGGCTATTATTCACAGTACATATCTTAGATGTCTAGAACTACTCTATCCTAGCATTTCTGTCTTGTATCTGTCATATTATTGTCACAGAGATACAAATAATGTAAAAAAAAACATGATTAAAAAATTTCGTATTATTTTTCGTAATACTTCGAATGTCCTAAGAGTAACATTATACAAAAATATGTTTTGAAGGCAACTGTATAAATCAAAGTTCTTTAACAAAAAAAAAAAAACAAAATAAAATATCGTAAATGAATGTTTATGCATCTGCTCGTTATCTTGGTCTATTAGTTACTATAAGCGATAGAAATTTTTGCTTATTTGATGAAGTATTTCATAGACTATTATTATAAATTAATAGGTCTAATTTAGAACATTTCAAACCTCTTAGTAGATTGATTTCATTGAGTAAAAAAAGAAAAAAACAAGAATTATAAGTTCATTCAGAAAAACGACAATTATCCATCGACTCATTTTAGCCAGTATAAGAGCCATTGTGCTTTTCTATATAATTCATTCGTATGATTTGTTGCTTCTATATGTGACTATCAGCAGAGAAAAAAAACGGATCGTTCAATTCTTTCTTTTTTTTTCTATTCATAACGGTGTAGACAAAAGATAGAAAGGCAAGAATGATGTTCAGAAAAATAAAAGTTACTCTATAAGGATTGAATATTCCTACGACTACAATATTTATTTATGTTTAAATATTTTGAAGATTTAAAAACTTGTTGAAGAATTTTTATAATTTTAATGCTGCTTGTATTTTTATAATAATAACATGTAGAAAACTAAAATTTTAGAATCGATACTTCTATATATCTATGTAGACACCATGAATAATAGATCTCACTAGTGTAAATTCATGTGAAAAACAAAAAAATAAAAAAAAAAAAAAGAACATTCCTTGAGGGAATCAAAACTTATTTTACATCCTTTATTCTTTGCCGTCAGCGATAGTTCATTTTCTTTTCAGTTAGAGTTCTAGTCATCATTAGTTACTTCTTTGTCGTCTCCGGTTCTTTTTTTCTCTCGTTTTTTTCTTTGCCCAAGTTTTTCCGTCGTCATGAATTATCACAAACATACACACACTTACACGTTAACGAAGTATATGTCTTTTACATATTCACACATAAACATACAGAAATCTACAGAAGAGTAAACTAGGTCGACCAAATATATCGTAGAATGAGTAGGCGTATAGTGGAAAATTGCATAAAAACAACAAAGCGAAAAATATCAAACAAATTTTACCAATCTTATTTTCTTTAGTTCATATGGTTGTTACTGACTTGAGAGATTCTTATTGACATATATATATATATATATGCCTTACTAAATATTATTTTTCTAGTTCTCTACAACAAAAAGAAAAACAATTGGCAACGATAGGACGATAGATGCGAAAAAAAGCATAATGGAAGTCTGTAACAAAAACATGCAAATAAGAACATAAGAGCTGTTAAAAATTTATTACCGAGCATTCTAAAAGAGGATTGTTGATGATTATGAAAAATAATCAAAGCATATATTTATTTTATTCTTGATAGTGGAATTCATTAGTACAGCTTACAGTACGTATTTTACAAATATTTTTTATGATTAAAAAAAAAAGAAAAACGATCGTTGGACTATTTTAAAAGAGATTTTTATCTGACATACATATAAACAGATAGTCCAAAGTTCGAAAAAAAAACAAGAATTTATATGACTACAAACTTCATTTATTAGTTGTGTCTAAATTAAATTCTTCATTATCTATATTAATTAAATGATTTTTATTATGATAATCAATAAGTTCAACTGTTGTTGTTGGTAATAACTGTTCATTTATTGAATATATTACATGAAAACGTGTCACTGATGCATTTGGTGCTAGTTCTTGTATAGTATCTATATGTTGTCCGATATCTGTTTGTAAATCATGTGCAAAATATTTAATTAATTCACGTATAACAGATCCATGACTAACAACAAGTACATCAAGGTCAGAAAAATGATTTTCATATGAGGAATGTTTCAAAGTTTTGTTTAAAATTCGTTGTTTTTCACTATTACTATTATTTGATAAAGATGAAAGATCCATGGTTGAATCGATTGTTGATCGACATGATCTTGTTAAAATAATATGGTTTTTTAATTGATTGTGAATATTTTCTATTGATATTGAACGTTTTTTATTCGAATCTTGTAGTCTTTTTTGAGTAATAAATAAATTTTCTGTCGAAACATTACATGTTGAACATTGTGTAGTATCTTGTTTTGTTAATAAATTGAATGTACCAAATTTAATAAAAATTTCTTGACATAGTTTTCGAAAAAATTTTATAGCACGTTCACGCACTTGGGCAGTTGTTTCAGCACCAGGAGGTGTGAAATTAATATAAGGAATGCCATTCTCTTTTGCTAATTCATGTAACCATCGACGTGTTCGTCCTTCTGCAATACCAAACATCTAATTAATTCAAAATGAAACAAAAATTATATAAATTCAATCAAAAGTGATTTACTCTTTCACGTAATAAACTATCGAATTTAATTTTACATGATGATACACGATTTAATTGATGAATTTGACGTGCTGTCTAAAATAGTTAAATATTATATGTATGATTATGTATTAAAAAGAATGTAAGGCTTTATGACTTTTTCATCTGAAGAAAAATACATAAAAAAAAAGCATACTTCTAAAGATCGTTTTAGGTCACTTGAATAAATATGTGAAAAATGGTGATATTGCAAATATCGACCAAGTGCTTTCGATTGTTGATAACCAATATTAGATAACTCTGTATCAAGCAAACCTTGAATAATACCTTCAGCATTAGCATGTGTTTCAGCACTAAAAAAGAATTCATCAAATAGAAAAAGAAAAAATCAATAAGTTATAGATATTTACTGTCGAACAAGTGTTAAATTAAAATGAACATGATCGACTTGTTCAGTATTTGAAAACATTGATCTACAGATTATATAATTTAATAGATAGAATTAAAAATACTTGTTACTAACCGCATTGTAAATATAATTTTTTTGTGTGTCAAAAACACACGCCTTGTTTGCTTGCTTGTATCCACAAGATGTATATTATCCTTGGCCTTCGTTGACTGATCGCAAGAGAAGCTTTTGTTTTTGGCTACTATCTATTATAAAATACGCACGCACTGATGAAAAGGCCATTGGGCGTATCATCTATGATTAGATAGATATTTATTTCCTGTATCGATCAATGTCATTCCTCAATACTATAAAACACGTTTCTCAGTCAAAACATGCTATACATTTATGACAAGCAGGAAGAAGAAAACATCGAGGATGTTAAGGCTATGAAAAAAGATCGTTATCAAGTGACTAACTGTTTTATACTATCATACTGATTATATGGTGATTCTATCGTTCGTTCTTGAGTCGAATATTTTTATGCATTGAGAAATATGCAAATAATCTATCGAACAAATAAAATATGAAAGGAAAGGGCGAAGAGTACATCTCTATCAAAACTTACCACAGTGTCAATAGGTGTAAATAGATACCTTGGCCTGGAGGGTATGCAAAGAGATAAAAAAAAGAAAAAAATACAGTTGTGCAATGGATTTTTGATTACTTTTTATCAACAAGAACTTTATAATTACTTGGGCATTTACGACGCAGTAATAGTTTTTGTTTTGCGGTTTAAAGAAAAAAACTTTATCAAGTAAATCTACACCTCCTTTGACAGAATACAAGAGTTAATAGAACAAATTAGAATCATTTTATTCTTGAGCAGATCACACTTGAAATTTCATATAGAAGCATATATTCTAAATTCTTTCAATCAATAAATAAATATTTTTTTTTCTTGCTTAGAATCAATATTGATTTTCCACTTATATATTTTTCTCTATTCAACATGATAAAACCAAAAAAAGGAATTCCTTAACAATATTTCTTACAAGCTAATCTAATATGTCCGCATTTCTCGATTGTCAGCAGATTCTTCAATTTATGTTATATAAAAATATTTTTCTAAATTAAATAAAATCATGTAATTTCTTACACTTTTTTGAATAATTTGTTTCAAATCTTGATAATTCCGTTATGATTAATATATAATATAAAATCAAATCAAGTCATTGGAAGACAAATACAAGTATTGAATTCTGTTTGAGACTTCTTGGACTATCATATATCTCCTCCATAGAATCATACATTATTCATTATATGATAATTAGTAGACAGTTTAATCATTTATTCAGATATTTTTTTTCAAAAACAAGAATATAAAAAAATAAACTTCTATATACTATTGAATATTTTACATATTTTCTCATTTATTTAACTCTTTGAGAGGACGGTGGGACATATTTGTCCCACCTATTTTTTCAGTACAGAAAATGTTTGCTCTACATTAAACTGTTACAATCTTTAAGGTACATAGGTCGCTTATCTGCCATCTCATGTAGGCCTTTTCTCTCTTCCTTCCTGTCATATAGATCCTTCTCAGATGTCCTTCTTTCTTTCTGCTACTATATACTGACGCATGATTTCTCCCTCTCTTCTCTCAATGCCTTATCATCAGGTTTTTATCTGATCATATTAAGGCAAATACAACTGATTAATTAAAGAACCATTTTTTGATTGAAAAAAATTCCGTCCTCAAAGGGTTAATACTTCGGGAAATAAGCATATCGATTATTGATTAACTATTCAACTACACCTGTGTATTATTCAATTTCAGCTATATTTTTGCTTCAGTAAATCTTTTCATAGTATTGAAAATATTTTCAAACTTGCAATTTAAAAAAGGGCTAGATATTAAGTCAATTATCATCTTTAAACAAATAGCAATTAATATAAAGCATGTATATTTATAGTGCTACTGTTGTAATTTTGAAAAGTAATGCGTAGCATGCGAATATATTTCTCTAGGTGTATCAGAAAAAAGTATCTAGATAAAAAATTATATTAAGATTCTTCATCGTACAGTATCTAATTGATAGTTGAAAGCTATTAATGCAATTCGTGCGAGATTAAAATGTGAAACACGACATTGCTGTTGTTGCTAATTATATGGAAATTGTTTTATTCTGTCTATTTCGGGACACGTTTCCTCACTATCTCTTACTTAATCCTCTAGAACAAAAATAAGAAAATAGTTCATATAGTCTAACAAAATCTTACTAATGTACGGTCTTTGACTGCATATTAACAACAAAGAGCAAGTTCTGAGGGAGGGGGAAGGTATAAATTTCTGATTCTATGTACTTCAGCATTACTTTTATGGCGTGTTTCACAAAACATTTGTATATTTGAAAATATCTACTTTATAATGTTTTGTTTTTGTTAAACGTATTCATGGTAAAAACAAAAATATCAATGACTAAGTTTTTGTGGTTGCATGGCACTGACTCATTCATTCTTGCACAACTTTGTTTTTCTTTCGTCAATATTCATAGAAACAAATGACATACTCACCTGATACGTATTTTTGAGTTTATAAAAAAAAGATATGTTATATTAAATTATTGCTTAGGTTTTTAATTCTTTTGTTACAATGACTCAAGCTCAAGATATTAATATTAAATTATTCTCATTTGGTCATTCTTTTGGTGTTCCAAAAACAGTTGACTTATTATATTCAGTACGTCATTTTCCAGTTCCTAACATAGATAATTATCAACAATATGATGGGCGACATAAACGAATACAAAATGAATTGTTAAATTTGACACAATATGAAGATAAACTTAAAACAATCATTGAACAACTGATGAATTTTATTCATGAACATAACAAAAATTCTATCACATTGGCAATTGGATGTGAACAAGGAAGGCATCGATCAGTAGCTATAGTCGAACGACTTGCTGATTTATTGGGAACTACGTATAATGTAGAAGTCAGTCATCGAGATTTACAAAGAACAGGATATGATAAAAAGAAACAACGAGAAAGAACCCAAAATAGAGACAGAAAATATAACAGTTATGATGAAAATAACTAACGTATTATTGTTTGGTAAATTTAAAATCATCATCTGATTAACTCACTTCAAATTGATCTAATTTTCTATAGTATAATGTTTTACATCTGTTCGTTTTTGAACTGTTATTGGTTTAAAAGGTTTCTGTTTCAAAGGTTATTTCAATGGACATACAATTTTATTATATTTAATATTTATGTGATTGTTGAAGTTTTTTGTATAACGAAGATTGAAAGATATATTAATCCTTCGATTTCATCAGAATCATTTCATTTAATCTGCTATACTATCGATATCAACTTATGGTGATAAAATAAACCGAATGGTGAAAAACACTAAGTCTTTGAAATATTCCTATTCGTATTTAACAATCAAAACAGAATTGTCGTTTTTTGCAGAAATCAGAGAACATTCCTTAAAAGAAACCATTGCATAATGTTCGTTTGGATCTATCCATTCTTCTAATGTGGATTCAGTCTTGTATATTATACATGGCTGATAACATAAAACATTTATTTTTGCATTGATTAATTATTGGCACTCAAAATTCACTGTCTGATAGTTCCTTTCTTAATAGTTTAATACAGTTGTCAAGATCAAAATTTAATAATCTGTTTCCAATACTCATACTACTCAGATTGAAAAATCCTAAACTTGAATTTTGTCGAATCGGATGAAACATCTAAGATAATGCAACAGCAATTCGATAGCTGAAAAACATTAGATACAGCTAAAGTCTGATAGGAATCTACTGGATAATGTTGTATTTACATATGAATAATTGTTCAATAATAAATTTAAAATAAAGAAAACAATATACTCAATCATTTAGACTCACTTTTAATTGACTTCATCCTATAACATAGTCTGGAATAAAAAGATAAGGCTACAAAAAATATTATACTGTTTGTTAAACTGATCTCGTAAGATAATCCAAGATAATGATAAAATAAAATAAATAATTTATACTTACTATTTATTCAGCTGAATAGCCCTTTTGTCATTGCAAACGCGCGTTGAGGAACACGAATACTCTGAAAATATTCGTTTCTTTAATTCTCTTGATATCGTACCTTGCATTATGTACTGTTTAATTGATGATCTTGTGAATATATTGCCATACAAGAAGACATTCATCAATCGATGTGTACTGATTCTTATTTCGGTAGGGAATATAGAATTATGCAAATAGTTTGTGTGTGCCTGAAAAAAAACTTGATTTTATCGAATCAATATTTTTCTTGTCATTATATCTCTTAGTTCGAATTAATTTGATGAATAGATTTATAAATTTATCAGAAACATTTTTTGTTCATTAGTATTATTCTCATCGTTACTGTTGCTTCGAAAGAAATTGGTCCTGATGGACATGTGTAGTTCTAGATTAACTTAAGATTTTCAGAAATTTGTAAGAAAATACAAAAAAATAAACTATATAGTATCTAAAGCCTTCGATACATTACAAGATCTAAGGAGTTCTTATTCTGTCACTCAAAACCGTCATATTTGTTAATAAGTCCGGCCAATAATTCTTCATTTCAATTCATTTTTGCCAAATGCATCGTTAATCAAAGAATTAACTTCGCTTATCCGATGCTCGTACCAAGGAAAACAAACAGATAATATCCTGTGAAAAACAAAGAAAAAAATTGTTGACAAGATGAATATTCTCAAAACAATACAGTCAATATATCAGACAATCTCGGTACAATGTACAACACTGCGCACGCCAATAATCAGGTCCTATGTTTACGGCAACGTTTTATCTTTGTATAAAAGGCTTAAAGATTCTATTCAAAGTATACTGTAAGAGAACTCTGAAATAACACTTAACTATATATTTTAAAATAAACTATTTCTTCCTATTAGTTGTTTCTTATGATTTTACGAATTTGGGACTGGCACATCATTAAAATCACACAAGTAAAATAGTGTCCATGTGAAATTTAGATAGTATTATGGAGATGAATATTACAAATAAGGTTCATTGGGACCCAATTTTCTTGATCCTAAACTGACAGAATCAAGATATACAGAGTGTTAAATAACCTTTACACCCCCCTCTATAACCTAAAGTATCCATGATATCACAAATGTATTTTATACCAGATTAAAGTGCGTCAAAAACTGGATTTA